ATAAATATATTTATTTTATTTTATTTATAACTGATAATATATAAAATATTTAAAATTTCTGAAAATAATCGGTAATAGAACTTTGTTTTTATGAATTTAACAATATTCTATTCACCATTTTATCGTATTTTTTAAATACTTTTATATTGTTCATATCAAAATTTGAAGATTGTTGTTGTTCGAAGAAAGTCATCCATGTTTTTAATGCATTATGTGCTTCTTGAATAGGCACTTTGAATGGTTCTTCATCTGAATCATCTGAACTATTTTCAGTATCATCACGTTCTTCATTTTGAATAAGAGTAACTATTTGTTGGTCTGTCAGTGCTTCTTCGGTTGCAATAGTTTGATCAATATCATTAAAATAATCAACCATTGCAGAACTAAGAGCTGTGGCATGGTTATCTTCTAAAGGCAATTTATTTAAAAGCTCATCAAGCTCATTATTATCGAGTAAACTTGCTTCATTTTGAACATCTGTAGCATAAATAACTTCATTATCATCAACACCAGGAAGGATCCCAGTTTTTTTCCAGCAGTTAATAATTACATTTTCATCAACAGCATTCCACGAATCCGCAAAATAATCAATGACTTGTTTGATAGTTAGCTTGTTTCTTTTTTTTTTTTAAAAAAAAAAAAAAAAAATTAGTAATGCTCTAAATAGTTTATAGATTTGGCCAAGCTGTTGATTAAAAATCTACAAATACAAGTGTCGTGACTGAAGTTGAGATCTGCCTGAAGTTGGAACTTCAGTTAACTGAAGTTGCACCTGACTGAAATTAGCCCCTAAAATAAGAACATCCTGCACACATTAGTTAGCTGTTTTAGGCAGGTGCAAACTTTAGTCAACTGAAGTTCCAACTTCAGGCAGATCTCACGACAATATCAGATAATTTTCAGGAATAATCTTTAAATTACAAGCTACGGTAAATAATCTTATAGGAGATTAGTATAAAAATACTATTTTAAAAACCTAAGAAAAGAACGTCATAGTTACTTGAATAAATCTTTCAATATTTTGTAGTACTCATCAGTGAATTTATTTTTAACCGATAGCATTAATTAATCTATAGCTTGATTTAACTATTCAGAGCGCTACATATATGTTAGTTAAAAGCATATTTAAAAAAGGCACTTACTCATTAATATTTTTGCCGGCCTCATATAGCATTAAGAGATAACAACAATAAAGAGCCTTGTAGTAGCCTTTAAAACTCTTAATAATACCTGCATCCATTGGTTGCAGGTGAGCCGTTGTATTTGGAGATAAAAATATGACCTTAATATTAGTCAGGCCTGAATATATTATATTTTGACGATTACGTTTTTCACGCATTTTTTGTTTTTTATTTGATATACATTTTTTGGAGGGTATCTTAGAGGATACCTTAGAAGATGCCTTAGAGGATGAACCTACAATAATATTTGATCCAAGTTTTTTTTCAGAATCAGAATTTGCATAATCTTGGTCAGTATGTTCTTCTTCATTCGGATCAAAGTGTGAAGCAGCATTATCAATTAGTAGGATAATTTTTTTGCTATTAATTCGAAAATAGTAATCTAATTGCTGGAGCTACTCATTAAATATATCACTACGCATCCATGCTTTCTCATTTGTGCGATACACAACAGGAAGAGAATTTAAATTAACACATTTAAAGCATCGTGGTCGTGAAGATTTACCAATTACTCATGGTTGAAGACGGTGTGTTCCTGTAGCATTAGTGCCAAGTAAAACTGTAATTCTTGCTTTATTCTAAAAATACAGTAAAATTATAATTGATAAATCTAAAATTTTTATTACAATTAAACCTCTCTAAATGCATTCTATGAGAGCTAACTACTTAGAGAATAATAAGAAAAAATATATTTATAAAAGTTATATATAATATAATAAAGTAAATACTATCTTTTAAACTATTTTTCAGACAAATTTGCCTGGAAATTTTATAATTGATCTGTGATTAAGTTATCAAACTATATTGAATGATAGTTTATATCATAGAATATTTGAGTTAAATTGATAGTTTAAAGAATGCTATACTTGTGATTTTAGAGATTTTATTAGTTAACAATAAAAAATCTCTGAAATCACATATCAGATATTATATACTAAGGAGGTATACATATTATTCTGCCCAATTCAGAATCTGGCTGCTCTGATTTAGAATCAGGATAGCCTGATTCTGAATCAGACAGATTCTAATCTAGAGTACGACATATATATATTATATACCTTTTTTTAACCATGAATTGGAGCTGATGACAAAGTTTGGTTTGGTTGTATACGATAATATAAAGCAGTTTCATCTGCATTATAAATTTGGTCAAGCGTATATTGGCTAAGAAGATTATTCGATTTTTGTCTTTCTTCAAATAAAGTATCTAAGGGAGCACTTTTAGCCTCTCCATATAAACGATAAACATGAAGATTATTATGACATTTGAATTTTTCAATCCAACCATTTGACAATTTTAAATCAGACTCTTCTATATTAAAAGCTTCCATAAAAAATTTTGCTTTCTCTTTGATTAACATTTCACTAATTGGAATTTTAGCTATAATTGTACTTTCGATCCATAAGCTCATAGCTTTCTCGAGTAATGGAAATTTTGGGGAACGGTGGCAGAACTTATTTTTTGCTAATTCATTAGGAACTACTGCTAGCCATTTATCTTTCTCATTAATAATCTTAGAAACAGTTATACGATAGATATTTAATTAAAAATTTTGATTAAAATATTCTGTAATTTGTGTATGGTTATAGTGTGAGTTTTTAACTGCAAATTTACAAATTTGCTGTTTAAAATCATTACTAATTGTAGTTTGTATTTGTTTAGGTTTAGTTGACATTTAATTTTTTTTTTAAAAAAAAATGATATTTATAGTAATAATATTACTACTACCAAATCGAAGATTTACAATTAACGAAAGGCTACAAAGTTAGAACAAAAAGAAGACAACTTATTAAAGAGAATATTATCAAGCAGCAAATTATCCAAAGTCAAGTTATTTTTATTAGTATGTGTATATTTATAAACTTTCTATCTTATTTCATCTTTATGCTATGAGAATTAAAGAATTAGGGCTGAAGGCTTTGAATGGGAAGTATTCATCTATTGTTTTCTTTTA